CCCCCCCGGTAGCAGATTCCGGTCAGTTTAGTGCGTCCCCACCGGTTGCTGTGTCCGGTCAGGTTGCTGTGTCTGGTCTACTTGCTGCGTCTTGCTCCTGTCGGTTCCTAGCCCACCCAACCGTCTTGTGGAACCACCGCCTTGGCCACCCGTCGGTCCCTTGCTCCACCTTGCGCCCCTTGCGTCGCCGGCCGCCTGCGAGCCACTCTGCACTCCTCCTCCCTTCGTCCGGCCACTGCTCCCTTCCAGACTCTCCACTTGGACGTCTAGGGACCTGCCCCGACGCAGGGATATGGGAGGGAGTGCTACTTTCTGACTACTCCAGGTACACCACAGTGTTTCCTCTCGCGAAGAAGTCCGAGGTGACTACTACAATGATACGGTGGATTCTGGCCACTGAAGGCACTCGTGATAGTCGTGTCAATTGTCTCCACTCCGGCAGTGGGGGTGAGTTTCGCTCTGGCATTCTTGCCGAGTTCTATAGCGAGCAGGGCATCATACAGTCCTGGACGCTTCCGGAGTCCCCACAGTAGAATGGGGATGCTGAGCGCCGCATTGGCTTAGTCATGGAGATCGCTCGTACGTCCATAATCCATGCCTGTGCGCCCCATTTCTGTGGCCCTACGTGGTGCGCTACACCGCCCACGAGCTGAACCTCCAGCCGCGTGTCTCGCGGCCAGAGGCTTCACCGACCAGTCTTTGGACCGGGTCCCCTGGTGTTAAGTCGATCTTTCGTGTCTGGGGCTGCCTTGTACTCGTCTGCGATACCTCTGTAGACAAGATCTCGGCTCGCGCCATCCCCTATGTCTTCCTTGGTTTCCCGGTGGGTTCTCCCGAATACTCCTTTTATCACCCGCCCCTCCACCAGGTTCTCCACTCTCGTGACGTCATATTTGACGAGTTAGTGTCCTACTACACCAAGTACCCCTGTCGAGGTCTCTCGGTCCCCCCTCCTCCTCTTTTCCTCGCACCCTCTCCTCCTCCTGCTCTCGCTCCTCAGGTCCCCCCGCCCCACCCTGGTCCTGCCCCGTCAGGTGTGTCTCACGCTACCCCTCTCCCCTCGGTCGCGCGTCAGGTAGCGTCTCCCTCCCCACAGTCCTCCTCACAGTCCCCTCAACAGCCTTTGACCCTTCCGCGTCAGGTTACTGTGGACTCAGGTGGTGTTGGAGCTGGAGGTGCTGCCGCTGGAGGTACTCGGGATGAGGGCGCTCATTCGAGAGGTGTTGGAGCTGGAGGTGCTGGCACTGGAGGTGCTAGCTCTGGGGATGTTGGAGCTGGCGGTGCTGGCACTGGCGGTGCTAGCTCTGGGGGTGTTGGAGCTGGAGGTGCTGGCACTGGAGGTGCTAGCTCTGGGGGTGTTGGAGCTGGAGGTGCTGGCACTAGAGGTGCTAGCTCTGGGGGTGTCGGAGGTGGAGGTACTGGCGCTGGCGGTGCTCGTACTGGGGACGGTGGAGCCGAGGGTGCCAACGCTGGAGGTAGTGGCACTGAGGAGACGGGAGCTAGCGGCTCGCCCCCACCCCGCTACTACACACGTCTACAGGCTCTTCGCCGTCTTGAGCGCGAGGAGCAGGAGCGTTTGGAGTAGGAGAGGCAGCAACTGCGACAATTGGACCGGCAGGAGGAGCAGGCGCAGCAGCAGCAGCAACAGCCACCGCAACCCGTGGTCACACCAGTGAGTGGCCTTCGGGCCCTTGGTCTTCCCTCCCCTCCTCCTTTCCACCCGCAGTCGCTGCCCACTTACGATCCTATATTTCCTCCTCCAGACTCTTCTCTGGCTGTTTTCCCTCCGCTTCGGTCATAGTCACCTCCTCCTGTTGTCCCGCACGACTGGACCGCTCGTTGTCCCCTCCGTGCTTGTCCCTCGTCTCCTCTTGTCGACCTCTGCACTGCCTTGTTTCGTTCCAGTCCTCGTCATACTCCACCAGAGTCTGTTCTCCCGTCACCTCCTGCATCGTCTCTCACCGTCTCCTCTCACCCTATCACTGACTACTACCGTACGGCGCGTCCAGTTGTCGCGCGTGCTCTCGCCTCTCTTGTCACCGACCCTCGTGCCTCTCTGTCGTCTGACTCCGCTCTCACAGTTGCTGTCACTGACTTTGCGTCCACCCGCCACCTTGACTTTGCCACGCATGTCATGGCTGCCCCGCCTGCCCGTCCTAAGGCCGCCGGGGGTGGGTTTGCCCTTGGCTGTGACGTCCTCGAGGACAGGTAGTTCGATCTGGAGTTCTCGGCAGCCGCTTCCCCCCTCTCTCGGTGCCATGCTGCTTTCCCTTGAGGGAGACCCCGACGCCCTTGACATACCGACTCCTCGCACGTACCGTGAGGCAGTGTCAGGGGAGTGGGCCTCTTAGTGGAAAGCGGCCATGGACTCAGAGTTGGCTTATTGGAGATCCACAGGCACCTACGTTGACGTAGTTCCCCCTCCCAAGGTGAACGTTGTCGATGGCATGTGGCTCTTCAATGTGAAACGGCCGCCTGGATCACCTCTTGTGTTCAAGGCGCGTTACGTGGCTAGGGGCTTCAGTCACCGTGAGGGAGTTGACTTCTTCCAGACCTTCGCCCCGACCCCGAAGATGACTACTCTTCGGGTGTTACTCCACGTAGCAGCACAGCGAGACTATGAGCTGCACTGTCTTGACTTCTCCACTGCTTTCCTCCAGGGCCGCTTACATGAGGAGATCTGGCTGCACCGTCTTCCTGGTTTCACTGACACCTTCCCACCTGGGACTCAGTGGAGCTTGAGGCGGCCAGTCTACTGTCTCCGCCAGTTGCCCCGTGAGTGGCACGACACTCTGCACTCCACGCTTCGTGACCTAGGGTTTCGTCCTTCCTCTGCTGACCCATCTCTGTTTGTTCACACTGCTGCACTCCCTTCTTTATCCTGGTCTACGTCGATGACCTGGTGTTTGCTACAGCAGACAGGGCAGCACTGGCGGAGGTGAAATCCAAACCGCAGAAGAGACACACGTGCACTGACCTCGGTGAGCTGCAGCGCTCCCTTGGCCTGCAGATCACCAGGGACAGAGCCGCTCGCACCATCACACTGGCTCAGTCACACATGGTGCAGCAGGTCTTTCGGCCGTTCGGGTTTCAGTTCTCCACCACACAGCCCACTCCTCTTGCCGTTGACCACTGTGTCACTGGCCCTTTTCTCGATGAGCCCTTTGAGTCTAGTGGTCCCCACGCAGAGCTTGTAGGCTGCCTCATGTACCTGATGACTTGTACTCGGTCGGATCTCGCCTTTCCCCTCAGCGTCTTCTATCGCTTTGTTGCGACTGGGAGACACCGTCCTATTCACTAGACAGCTGCCGTGAGGGTGGCGAAGTACCTGGCGACTACATCAGGCATGGGGCTTGTGCTTAGAGGGATACGGCCAGTTGAGTTGACCGGTCACTGCGACTCTTCCTACGCTGACGGCGCGGAGACCGAGCGTTCGACTCTGGATTACTATTTCAGTCTGGGTGCTGGTGCCGTGTCGTGGAGGTCCACACGGTCATCGTCTGTGGCTTCGTCCAGTGCAGAGGCAGAGATCTACGCTAGTGCCATGGCGGCACAGGAGCTCCGCTGGTTGACCTTCTTGCTCGCCGACCTTGGTAAGCAGCCTTGCTCTGTGCCGACCTTGTACGCTGACAACAAGGCCATGATCAATTTGTGTCAAGAGCCTCGAATGGAGAGCAGAGCGAAGCATATTGACGTGAGGTACCTTCTTCTGCGAGAGCTACAGCGACGCGGCCAGGCATGCTTGGACTTGGTGGCCTCAGAGGCCAACACTGCTGGCGTCTTCACCAAAGCCTTGGCGCCTGGTGACCACCACAGTTTCTGCGTGCAGCTAGGGCTTGTTGAGGTAGGCCCTCGCTTGCTGTAGTGTTACTCCTGTTGCTTGTTCTATTTGTAATTTCCCTTATATATATTGTACTCTCTTCAACTGGTCTTGTGGCCGCTTGCTTGTGCTCTGAATTTGTGTGGTGTCTTTGAGATCCACCCTGAGCTTGCTTTGCTTCTTGTCTTGACTAGTCTTGTGAGCGTTTGTTCACCCTGCTTGCTTAGACGCCCCTCACTTAGCCTATGGGGGTGTGTCAAATGCTATTATTTGTTATAGGCTGTAGTGAGGTGCCCTCTAGAGGGAATAACCCACTTAGGGTTTCTATTTGTATCCAACTGCTGCCTAGTAAATTCATTCCGTTGCATTCACTTTCTGAGAGTTTGCCACTTGCAGACTTTTTTTAATCAACGATATGTAATATATAAGTCCTCTTGGCTCATGGCCAGACCAGACCAGATCCCTCTTGGTTCTGGGGCAGGCTGGAAAACCAAACCAGTCCTGTCAACTTATGGAACCCCTCAGATTCATTCTGGGCTACACTGGTGCATCAGGGCTGTTTAGTGAAAAGCAGCTTTTGCCCTGATTCATCAGGGCTACACTGGTAAAGGTACCCTGATCTGTTAGTGGTATGTAAAGTCAGGTTGAATAATTTACAGCACAAAGGTGTTGGCCCGGCACACAAGAGGTCACCAGATCAATTTTGCTTACCGACGCCATTCCTTGCAGGTCCGAAGCGAAAGTCGATGGTTGAGTGCACTTGTCCCTGTTCGTTTTTCGCAGTACATCTCGCTTTAGTGAGAGACTCGACACTATCCTGAATGATCAGGGCTGAACCTACACCATTAAACTGAATTGTCAGTACGATACATAACCACTGTACTGATTTTACAGGACAAGTATTTCCCTCATGCTGTTTTCTCAGGACAGGCCCACAACACCTATCCTGAATTCAGGAGATTCAGGATAAATTATCCTGATAATATAGGGCCTGTATGAGTATGAGTATAAATTCAGAACAATGCTGGTACGAAAATAGAACATTACGTATGAGTCTAATACCACAATATAACACAACATCTACTCTGCCAGTCCACAGCAGTCCGTGCTGAGAGAACAGGGAGAGAGTGAGATATGTGGGGTTGCACAAGGATGTAGGGCAACACACGCCTGCCTACAATTATGGCAGCTGCTCATGCATGAAAAAGCATTAGCATTGGTATGAGTGGGCACAGTGGCGAAGGTGAGAGGGAGGTAGAAGCAGTTGGGCAGGGAGGGCAGCAGTAAGCATGCAGGTGGTCATGCACTCGGCTCTGCAGCGCATGCATCAGCACATGCGTCAGCATGAGCACTAGTGAGTGCGGTAGGGAACGTGAGAGTGAAGTAGAAGCAGTTGGGCAGGGAGGGCAGGGCGAGGCTGGCCATGGGATGGGCGAAGGGCATGCGGAAGGGGTTCAGACGCACCTGCCAGGAGAGACGAATGGAGAGGGGCAATGGGAGGGATACGGAGGGACAACAGAATGGGTGGTGAGAGCAGTGAGGCGTGCAGGTGGTGAGAGAGGAGAAGGGCGGGAGGGGAAGGCGAGGGTGGCCATGGGATATGCGAAGGGCATGCGGAAGGGGTTCAGACGCACATGCCATGGGGCGGGCAAGGAGAGGGGAGAGGGGTGGTGGGGTGAGTAGGAGGGGTGGGGAGGGATCGGAAGGGACAACAGAAGGGGTGGCGAGAGCAGTGAGGCGGTGGTAGTGGTGAGAGGAGAGAAGGGTAGGGAGGGGCAATGGGAGGAGAGGTGAGAAACCGGGGACATGAACCGTGGATTTGTTGTTGCTCAAAGAAAACGTTTGTTAGAATCTCATTCCTCTTGTATCGTGCATACATCCTATACTGCTTGGACAGAGTTGTGCACCTAAACCTAGCCTGGGCGCACAGAAAAGGAACTACCCTACTTGGGCTTCAGAAGCCAAACTTGGCCCAATGATTCGGCCCACCAAAGCTGGGTTGCGGAAGTTATTGAGGGGCTCATTCAACTTGGCTCACAATTCACGAAAAACGTTGAGATCTCCCAACAATATCCTCACCCAACCAATACTGGCCAGTTTCCCAACCAACCCAGCTTCCCATCTCACAAACACACACCCCTTCCCCTTCTTAGTCAATTAAATATAATCAGCAAAATCCTTCTCTTCCGCCCTCTTGAAGCCCTCCTACCTTGCTGATGACCAGGCTGCAGCACAGCACCACCAGAGGCCGCTGCAGCCCCTCCTTCGCCATTCCCTTGCACCTCCCCTCCCTAAAAATAATCTCCCCTGAAGCATCCTACCTCGCTGACGACAGGCTGCAGCACAGCACCACCAGAGGCCGCCGCTGCCCCTCCCGTGCCACCACCTTGCTGCACCTCAGCAGCAAGCGAGCAAAGCGCCTCGCGGGCCCTCTCTGCTGCCTCGTGGCTGAAGTCCGTGATGAATGCTGGCAGCCTGTGCTGCAGTATGGGGACCTGGTGGGGGTTAGGGGGGCGAGGCATGAGGGTCCAATGGCACCTCAGCAGCAAGCGAGCAAAGCGCCTCGCGGGCTCTCTCTGTTGCCTCGTGGCTGAAGTCCGTGACGAGCGCTGGCAGCCTCTGGCGCAGCATGAGGGTCTGGCGGGGGGAGGAAGCGGGGGGGCAGCATGATGCTGTGAGGACTGGCAGTGGCGCCTCCTTGCCTCGTTGCCTTCTTGATTCCATGCTTCTCCGGCTCTCTCTGCTGCCTCGTGGCTGAAGTCCGTCATGAGAGCTGGCAGCCCCCCGCACAGCATGAGGACCCGACGGGAGGGGAGAGATGAGACAGCATGGTGCTGTGAGGGGAGAGATGAGACAGCATGGTGCTGTGAGGGGAGAGATGAGACAGCATGGTGCTGTGAGGGGAGAGATGAGACAGCATGGTGCTGTGAGGGGAGAGATGAGACAGCATGGTGCTGTGAGGGGAGAGATGAGACAGCATGGTGCTGTGAGGGGAGAGATGAGACAGCATGGTGCTGTGAGGGGAGAGATGAGACAGCATGGTGCTGTGAGGGGAGAGATGAGACAGCATGGTGCTGTGAGGGGAGAGATGAGACAGCATGGTGCTGTGAGGGGAGAGATGAGACAGCATGGTGCTGTGAGGGGAGAGATGAGACAGCATGGTGCTGTGAGGGGAGAGATGAGACAGCATGGTGCTGTGAGGGCTGGCTGAGTCGCCTGTGGCGCTACCATGCCTCCCTGGCTCGCTGTGCGGCCTCGTGGCTGAGGGCCATGATGACTGATGGCAGCCCACTGCGCAGCATGAGGACCTGGCGGGAGGCCGAAGAGGGGGAGGGGGACAAGGTAGCACGATGATGTGAGGACTGGGAGGAAGGGGAGGGGGCACACGGTGCAGCCCTCTGTGCTGTCTCATGGCTGTAGTTCGTGATGAGCGCTGGCAGCCCACCGCGCAGCATGAGGACCTGCTTGGGGGCAGAGGGACGAGGCAGCACGATGGTGTAATGTAGGGAAGGGGAAAGAACCAGTGGTGCAGCCCCCCTTCATGCCTCGTGGCTGAAGTCTGTGATAAGCGCTGGCAACCCCCTTGGTGTAGCATGAAGGTCTGGTGGAGGATAGACAGGATTCAGAGGGTCGAGATGAGGCAGCACGACGATGTGATGACTGGGAGGAAAGGGAGGGAGCAGGTGGTGCAGCCACCCTTCATGCCTCGTGGCTGAAGTCTGTGATAAGCGCTGGCAACCCCTGGTGTAGCATGAGGACCCTGGCAGGGGGCAGAGCAGAGGGGTCAAGTGGTCTAGCACGGACCCCTCTCTACTGTCTCATGGCTGAAGTTCGTGATCAGCGCTGGCAGCCCCTGCTGCAGTGTGAGGAACTGGGGGGAGGGAGAAGACGGGGACAGCATGAGCTGACGCAGAGGAGCAGTGGTGCAGTGCAGCCCCCTGTCATGCCTTGTGGCACCTTCCTGCCTCCCGCCCTCCCTGGCTCTCTGTGCTGCCTCGTGGCTGTAACCCGTGATCAGCGCTGGCACCTTGCAGGAGAGGGGGGACGGGGCAGCACGATGCTGTGAGTACTGGCTGTGCTGCCTCGTGGCTGTGGGCCGTGATTAGTGCTGGCAGCTTCCACTGCAGCAAGAGGGTCTGGCAGGCGGGGAGACAGGGCGCAGAGGGGCAAGATGAGACAGCGTGAGGACTGGGTGGGAGCGTGTGCTGCAGCCCCCAGTCATGCCATACGCTTGCTGCAGTCAGGTGCGTGTCTCACCTCCTTTTCCTACCTCCACAACTTAGCGTGCATACCACCCACCCAGCCCCCCTCCCTCCCTCTTTTGCTCGCACTCACCAGCGTGTCTCGCCAGGAGGGGAAGGCAGGCAGGCCCGCGTTGGGAAGGAACAGCAGCGTGGGGCAGTGGCAGGACCGAAGCTGCTGATGGGATGACTGGGGGAGATGCGAACACTGCTGGGGCTGGTCGCTGTGAGGGAGAGAGGTCGGGTGGTGAGGGCGGCGTAGTGAGGTGCAAGGGCTGCAAGGGCGCATTGCAACAGTGATGGGTGGAGTGGCAAGCGCGGAAGTGGGGGCGGTGGTGAGTGGCGAGCAGGCAAGGGAGGGCAGCACGTGGTGGTAGAGGCCGCGGTGGAAGTGCACTGCTACGCCTGCTGCCCCTCCTGCTGTTTCTGGTGGTTGTGGCCCGGTAAGTTGTGGTTCGGCAGGTTGTGGCTCGGCTGGTTGTGGTTCGGCAGGTTGTGGCTCGGCTGGTTGTGGTTCGGCAGGTTGTGGCTCGGCTGGTTGTGGTTCGGCAGGTTGTGGCTCGGCTGGTTGTGGCTCGCGGGGCTCAAAGTCGGGAGGATGCTGAAGGAGTATTCGCTTGCCGTGCCTGAGGGTGTGGCGCGGCGAGGGCAGTGGGGAGGTGTAGTGCGGGGGCAGTGGGGAGGTGTAGTGAGAGGGCAGTGGGGAGGTGTGGTGTGAGGGCAGTGGGGATGGCAGAGGATGTGAGGATGAGGAGTTAAGGCATGGAGATGGGTGGCACGTGGAGCAAACACGTAGGGCATACGGGTGCATGGCGCAAGGAGTGAACCTACAGAGATTGGGCTGAGGATGAAGCAAGAAGAAGAGGAAAGGACGGCCACACATGCATCGAATGTCGCCCCTCAATCCTCTCCCCCCAGGCCACTCCCCCCAGAGCACTCCCCGTAAGGCAACCCCCCCAGGGAGCTCTCCCCAAGCCACTCCCCCCAAACCATTCCCCCAAGGGCACTCCCCACAGGACACTCCCCTCAAGGCAACCCCCCCAGGGAGCTCTCCCCAAGCGTCACTCCATCGAGCTCCAAAGATGGGTCTCACATGTGTGCGGGTATGTTGGGGCCAATAAGGTGAAGACACATGTCCACTCCGGGCAGGAGCACTCGCAGCTCTGCCAGTGCGGCTGGTTCTTGAGCCTCCCTGTCTGCCCCTGCAGGTGCAGTGCATGGTAAGAAACATGGTGAGAAGCAGTGTGTGGTGAGAGGCATGCCAGGGCGGGAAGTGCAAGGGTGGTTGGTGAGGGGTTTGGGGGGTGGGAAAAGGTTGTGGTAAGGCTATAGGAAATGATGTAGTTCATCCATAGCCATCGGTTTCGTGGTGTAGTTGGTTATCACGTCAGTCTAACACACTGAAGGTCTCCGGTTCAAGTCCGGGCGAAGCCATATCTCAATCTCTGTTTTCGCTCGACGTGGCCGCCGTGTTCTTTTCCATTCCTCTCCAGGGTGAGGATTTTCCACCTTTTTGCAAGTACTGGGCTCCAATCCATTTCAAAATCCTTTCAACACCCTTCCCTCAATAACCTGACCTGACATGCCATCTGTGCATTATTTGTATTGAGGACTGCCTGCGTATCTGTTTGCCTGCCTGCTTATTTGATTCACTGCCTGCGTGCCTGCCTGCCTGTTTGCCTGCCTGCCTGACTGACTGCCTCCATCTTGCCTGCCTGCCAGCCTTCTTTTAGCAATGCAGGGCAGGCAGTGGGGTTGTGATGTCACATGCGCCTATGCGTGAGAATGCATCCATAGAGGTGTGCCGGAGTGAGGCAAGGCAACCGATGGAGGGGGATAGTGGTACGAATGGAGACGGGGGAGAAGAGGGAGATGATGGACGACACAGCCGACAGCACACAGAGTCTAGTATGGGGCACAGATGGTATAGCAGTGGATGGGAAGAAAGCAAGCTGATTGTTGGGCATATGTGGTTCAGAAACAGAGGAAAGAGAGGGGATTGGGGCACCGGTGGATTCGCACCAACCACGTGGATGCAGAGGGAAGAACGCTTGACCAGCCCACAACAACTCTGGCATTGATGGTGCCGCTGCCCCTCTGCACATGTACGCTGCACCTGTCCCTCCTGTCCCTCCTGTCCCTCTTGTCCCTCTTGTCCCTCTTGTCCCTCATGTCCCTCTTGTCCCTCTTGTCCCTCTTGTCCCTCTTGTCCCTCTTGTCCCTCCCTCCGCTCCCTCCCAGCTGCAGTGTAAGAGGGCGTGTGCTCCGGGTCCGAGGCAAGAGTGGTGGCAGGGAAGGCAGGAGGAGGGGGTGGGGCGGGTTGGTGGAGCAGGTGGAGGGCGAGGAGGATGGTGAGTGGCTGGTGGGTGGGGGGAGAGAGGGAGGTGGGCAAGGGGAAAGATGGAAAATGGTGAGCGGCTGGTGTGGGGGGGAGTGGGCAAGCGGGAGTTTTGGGGATGGGGGGTGCAATGGGGTGGGGTGGGGAGTGTGGTGAGACGAGGAGTGTGGTGGGTGTGGTGGGATGAGGAGTGTGGTGGGATGAGGAGTGTGGTGGGATGAGGAGTGTGGTGGGATGAGGAGTGTGGTGGGATGAGGAGTGTGGTGGGATGAGGAGTGTGGTGGGATGAGGAGTGTGGTGGGATGGTGAATGCATGCATCGTTGTCACCATCGCTCTTGAACACAAGGAACGATTTCCTCACACACCAGACCAAACCATACCTCACACCCGTACCTCATGCCCATACCGTGTGCAGCAGCAGCGCAGCGGGCGAGTGGAGGGGAAGGCCCCTCCAGAGGTAGTAGTCGCTCCAGGCGAGCGGGGAGAAGGGGGGAGGCGGGATGGAAGGGGGCTGTGTGGGGTGCACGCGCGGGGAAAGAGAGGGAGACGTTGGGGGTGCAGGTGCAGCACGGGCGGCGGAAGGGGCTGATGGGCTGCTGGGAGAGAGTGCAGCAAGCTGGCCCTGGTCAGTGGCGGGTACAAGCTCAGGAGCGGAAGCGCATCCTGCAGGCAGCACGAGAGGTGAAAAAAGAAGCAATATTGTGTTTGAAAAGCGAGTATGACTAGGGCAAGAGAATGAGCTTGGAGAGCAACAGAGGAGGCGAAGGAAGAAAATCAGCAGAGAGGGTGAGATGTGAAGGCATGGGAGAGGAAACAGGGACCAACAGTGAGAGAGTAGAAGAGGGCGGGAGAGAATGGGAGAGGGTGGGGAGTGGGAAGGAGCCTTACGGACCACAGAGGGCAGCGTAGGGTCCGCAGGCATGCAGGTGGCGGGATGAGAGGAAGGAGCACACGGTGTGACGCCCCTGCTCCACCTGCATCAACCATGCAACACACTCGCAGAGGGCGGAGAGGGTGGGAGAGGGAGGGAGTGGGCGCCTTGCAGGCACCAGACGGCAGTGTAGGGTCAGTGGGCTCGCATGGAGGGAGGAGGAGAGGAAGGAGCACACGGTGTGACGCCCCTGCTCCACATGCACCCCATATGGATGTGACAGACAGATGAAATGCACCCCACATGCAGGTGGCAGGGAAGGTGGAGAGTGCAGGAAGGGGGATGGCACGTCCCAGCAGCACCGCACCGCACCGCACAGCACAGCACAGCACAGCACATCACAGAACAGCACCTGGATGACAGAATCGTGCAGGAAAGGAAAGGGCAGGTCGAGCACAGCCGGTGCTTTCTGCAGCTGCAGTGAAAAGCGGGCGCACTCGCCCCCCTGCTCGTGCCGCCGCCAGTGGGACGCCTGAAGGGAAGCACGGGGCGTGAGTGAAGGAGGAAGGGACATGGGGCTGGGGAAAAGGGATAGACCAGGCGAGCGCATACCCCTACTGCTCGTGCTGCTGCCAGTGCGCCTCCTGAGGGGATGGCCTGTACGGCATCGGGTGTGGAGGTCGCGGCATGGGGCATGGGGCATACATGTGAGATGGGGGAGCGGGCATGGGACACGGAGCATGGGACATGCCGAATGGGGCATCGGACATGGGGTATGGGGCATGGGGTGGGGCATGAGACATGGGACATGGGACATGGGGCATGTGGTATGGGGAATGGGGCATGGGGTGGGGCATGAGACATGGGACATGGGGCATGGTGTATGGGGCATGATTATGGGGCACGTGGTTTGGGGCATGGGGCATGGGGTATGGGGCATGGGGTATGGGGCATGGGGTATGGGCCAAGAGTCACGGGGTACGGGGAATGGGGCATAGGGCAACGGGAATGAGGCGTGGGGCATGGGTGATGGGGCAAAGGAAGGACCGTATGGGAGAGGGGGAGAGAAGCGGGGGAAGGAGGAAGGGGAGGAGAGGGGCAGGGAAAAGGAGAGAGGGGCAGGGAGAAGGGAGAGGAGAACCCTATCAGGGCCTCGCGGCAGCGCTGTGGTGGGGGAAGCCACGTGCGCGACGAGGGCCTTTGGCGCTCAGCACGGGCTTGGGGCGAACGGGCGGCTGGTAGCGCGCATGAGCTGCGCGCATGAGCATGAGCTGCGCGCATGAGCATGAGCTGCGCGCATGAGCATGAGTTGCGCGCATGAGCTGTGCGCGAAGAGGGCCTTGGAGCGCAAGCCAGTGAACGAACGGCTCGGGGCGAACTGTAAAATTGGATGGCGGGTCATCGGCCGGCTGGTGGCGGACATGAGCCGCGCGCATGACATCTCGCGCTGCGCGGGCCTGGGTGCTACGGCACGCACCTGGTGTCGCCTGCTACAGTAAATGACGACGCCGCACTCGCCGCAACGAATACGGCCGTCGCATGGCGACGCGCACACGTGGCACTGCCACGTCATCGAGATCGCAACTCAGAGTAGCGGCGGCGCAGCACTATGCAAGCGGCCGCAGTGCATAACGGCAAGTCGATCTAGTAAGCGAGCGCGATCCGTTCGCCTGTCGCCCGAAACAACTGTGCGAAAGACCAGTGGCGCGAAATCCTAGCCGTGTTCTGAACCCGAGCTACTTCCTGGTGTCATCCCTGTGCGCCACTCGTGTCACGTTGTGAGGGCGGGTCACGTTGTTTCGTCGTACAGTAAAGGAGGGTACGGATCGGGGGACAATGCCTCAGACGGATCTATGCTGGAACCATGTGAGTTTCTTTTGACACCAAAATGAGTGCTCTTCACACGGAAAAATGAGTTACAAAATGGACCACGCGACAGCGATTTTCTTCGCGAGGTGTTGTGTGCAAGCAAAGCAAGCAAAGCACCGCACATAGGGTTCGCAAACAAACGGCTTGGTCATGATGCGAATTGCGTTACGTCTCACATGTCGTATGACTGGGTTGTTCAGACGCCATTCGAAGTCGCACACCTAGTCGCAAGCCAAGCCAAGGGGGTTTGGGGTTGAGAATAGTGATTTCCACTAGGGGCTACACTAGGGCTGCCGCACCGCACTTGCAAGGCGTGTGTCACAAGGAATACCAAGCAAGCAGGCGAGTTCATTCTTGTGTCATTTCAGCTGCATACAAGAACCGTTTCTGGTTTGAGGAATTGCGCATGTAAGGGCGTGTCACCTCGAACGTTCAAAGTGGCTTGTTCGAACAAGCACCGTACTTACTTAACCGCTTAAATTTTTAAACCGTATTATACCAGCGCCAACTCCCAGAATCTTGGAGCTCGAACGGCTCCCGAGGTGACACGCCCTAAGAAATGCTCCAGCGTTTCATGGGAGGTCGCTAATTTACGGATGCGACTTCGTCAGGAATGTTGGCCTGTCGCAGCCACGCAGAATCGCATAACAATCCACCAAGAAAACTGGGTCTCCCTTCATTCCCACCCTCGCCAACCTCCCACTATATTTCTCCCTCTAGTTTCATTTCCTAGCGTTCTTCCCATTGATAGTCGTTTCTTCATTTTTGTCGTCTGCACTCGCGCGGTAACAGGAGCTTTTTGGCTTAACAGTGTACATATATCACGTGTTTCTACTGTACCTTAATCGGTGTACTCGGCGCTAAACACACAGCGATAAAGACTAAACTATTCGAAATCTGCCAAAAACGCAATTTCCCTTTCCGCGATGTGGAAGCTCCGCACCGCGATGGCAACGGACGGATGTCCCTTTCCGCGATGGGGATGCATCATTCGGCTCGGCTCACTTACCATTCTAACGTGTCTCGTCGTGGTTTCTCCAGTCCACTGTGTCCCCTTTGCCGCCTCCCAAGGTTTGTCCTTGTCGAGGGAAATGATTGGCCTAGTAGGCCGCCCCCCCTCACCTCCAATCTGCGCGTCTTTCCTGCGAGTTTCTCTGAAAATCTGAAATTAACAGACACCCAGAATTACTACCAGCGTAACACAGCGGCTCCAAGGGTTTCAGGCTGCCGCATCCCAGAGGATTACGGAAACTCGCATACCACGAACGCGGGGCTTATAATCCTCTACCAGTTCGCAACAGCGAATGCAGAACTAGTAGCAAATCTAATGTTGAATAACACACTAACAACAAGATGGCGACGCTATCATATGTGACGCATGCTTGCCAAACCCTAATATCCGCCAATCTCAAGTTAATATCCGCCAATCTCAAGTTTGTAACTGCCAACATCGGCCCCCAGAGGCGTTTTTTGTTCGTTTATAGATGCCGTCTCATATTTTCAAGCGTTTTACATTGGGTTGGAAAACCTATGGGCGAAACCCTATTCTCAAGGCCAACACCGCCAACACAATGCCTCAGGCGGGGTTGGATCACATCCGAACCTATTTGGACAGGTTTGGCAAGATTGTGTTGGGGTGGTTTGCCTCTGCCCTAGTGACTACCGACCTAAGCGCTTGACCTAGGGACGGTAGCGCAATGCTAGGAACGGTGCAAAAAGGCATCCTAAGGTGGGGAACCTACAGCTAGAACGGTGGGGCTGCATGCTAAGGAGCTAAGGAAGGAAGGCGAAGAAAGCGGGAAGAAACGGAATGAAGAAAGATGAGGGATCGGCAATTGTCGATAAGACATTTGCCGTAGCCTAGAATGTCCACCGGAACCGAACCGTGTTCGGTGCTGATGGTCACAAGAGGGTTTCGATACCGGTGTCAGTTACCGAATTCAATTCCCTTTCTTTTCCCCATGTTATGCCCTTTCATCCCCCCCCGCAGGCCCTTTCATTCCCACCTGCTGGGCCCTTTCATTCCCCCATACTAGGCCCTGTATCCCCCGCTATGCCCTATTCATTTTTACCTGCTAGGCCCTTTCAGCCCCTCCTGCTAGGCCTTTTCAGCCCCCTCTGCTAGTTACTTTCATCCCCCGCTGCTGGGCCCTTTGATTTCCTCCTGCTAGCCCGTTTCATTTCCACCAGCTAGCCCTTTCATTTCCCCGAGCTAGGCCCTTTCATTCCCCCCAGCTAGGCCCTTTCATTCCCCCCAGCGAGGCCCTTTCATTCCCCCCATCTAGGCCCTTTCATTCCCCCCAGCTAGGCCTTTTCATTCCCCCCAGCTAGGCCCTTTCATTCCCCCCCAGCTAGGCCCTTGCATTCCCCCCAGCTAGGCCCTTTCATTCCCCCCAGCTAGGCCCTTTCATTCCCCCCAGCTAGGCCCTTTCATTCCCCCCAGCTAGGCCCTTTCATTCCCCCCAGCTAGGCCCTTTCATTCCCCCCTGCTACGCCTTTTCATCCCCCCCTGCTGGACCCTTTCATCCCTCCCTGCTAGGCCCTACCCTTTTATGACCCGCTGCTATGCCCTTATTATTGTCACCTGCTTCGCCCTTTCATCCCCCCTCTGCAAGGCTCATCGCCCATTCGCTTTCACCTGCTAGGCCCTTTCATTTCCCCCTGCCAGGCCCTTCCTCCCACCCCCACCTCCCCCCCCCCTTCCCCGGCCCGCCCGCCCTGCCCCCCGCCCTGCTAGGACCTTCCATCCCCCCCCGGCTAGGCCCTTTCACCCTTCCCTTTCATCCTCTTTCTTTTCACCTGCTACGCCCTTTATTCCCTCCCCACTAGGCTCTTTCATCCCCCTCTGGGTTTGTGCGTTGTGATACCAAGTTTGGGTAATTTCCAACCAACCCGAACCAACCTGGCCCATCTTTGGTTCACTTTGGCGACAAACCCAGGGTTACCGGATTTCAAGCGTTTCACACTTCGTTGGGAACACATAAACATGAGACAGGGCTTTTAAAGAAACAACCGTTTTATATGGTGATGAGTTTGGTCCCGAGTTCGTACTTCCTCATGGGTCTGTTTAAAGTGTACATGTGCAATGAGGCGAGCTTCTCGGCTTGGCTTGTACGGTGGACTCGTTCAAGGACGAGTGATGAGTGTGGGTTTTGGCGTAGAAAACTCGTCCAAGACTAGCCGAGTTTTCTCGGCAAGTTTTAAAAGCTCGCCGGGCGCTCGTCACTTCTACGAGCCTTTTTTCACAATCGCACGAGCTTTCTACACTCGTCAGCATCTCCCTCATGCTGTGTCAAAGTTATTTTCATGTTTGTCAATGTCTGTTCTTATTATCACAATAAGACCTGGTATATTCTGCTGGTATAAGGCTATGAACCGAGCTTTCCTTGTGCTCGGCCGAGCATTTTCAAATGCTAGGCCGAGCTAAAAAAACCCTGTCAAACATGACGAGTGACGAGTACGATTCTTGGTTGTAAAAGCTCGTCCGAGCAGAACTCGGCTCGTTAAAAAGCTCGCTCGCACGAGCTTGACTTGACCTGTGACGAGGCGGGTTTTGTTCGGCTCGTTCCAATGCACACGTATAGTTCAAACCAAAGGAAACAACAACCCATGGGACAACGCTGATGGAAAGAGTGAGAAGGAGGAGTAATCAAGTTACATACACAATTGTTGTGCAGCAAATATGTCCCGGAGGGTAGATTCTCACCTGTGGTCTTAGAGGTTGTGGGTTCAATTCTCAGTAGCTGCAGGTTCCCTTCTCATTATGCTCCACATTACATGTCCACACTCTACCACACTCCACCACAGTGAAGTGTGGTCACAGCTGGCATTGCCACCTGTCTACTCATCCCACACTCACCTTGCTGGCCTCTATGGTGTGCCATATGCTGTCATGTGGGCTGTTGTTCCAGCCTGGCCCACATGTGCAACATGTGGCCTCACTTGCTAGCTTGGCAAGGTTGGCTAGCCTAGCCCTCAGCATTGAGGTGCTGCAGCTAGCCTCAAGAGTTCAGCCACATATATGTGGCTTCCCACTTCACTAGGGATTATCCTTGACAAGGACCTTGCTCTAGTCTTTAAGACTTGTACCATTTTCTTGCTAAGGAGATTTCTTCTTCCTATCGTGCCCTAAGTTCACCGATCCACTTTCTTCAACAATATTTAGCCTTTTCTTGCTTGCTTTGATTTTTTTGGTGACCAAAGTTCTCGAACAATAAAACTTCTGACACACAGATGATGAGAGCCGATCCATTGTTCCTTAGTTCCCTGCACCACCCCAACTTTCTATCCTACCCTGCCTGCCCCCGTGCTTCCCTCTCCTCCCACACCCTCTGCCTCCAGTGCAAGCCCTGCTGGACTTCCAGCAGGCATTTGGGCAAATTTTCTCTGGATGGACGGCTGGTGGGAACTGCAGCTCT